CTATGTGCTATTATGTTATGACTTTTTACCTATTCAATCAATTGAGGTATCAAATTTATAAAAAACATTTCTATAATACTATGCATTCAATACAACTCCCATTATTATTAAACAATAACCTTTTAAAATCAACCTATGTCTTTTTTGTTCTATTGTTAGCATTAGCTGCTGTTTCAATAACTGAATTTCATAGCCAAGCCAACAATAATTAGATATAGACATGAATAATTTAAATTAGGGGTGTACCGATACCACTTTTTGGAGGCCGATCCGATATCATATCTAATTTTGTATTCTGTAAAGATACCAATGGTTTTAATTTGTAATATACTTATTATTAGTGTTATAATTTAATTATACCATAACTTATGTCATTTAAATATATTATAATGATCAGTTATAGTTTATATTCAATTCTATTGCCTAAAAGTATATAAAATATTTTTATTATAAATCACTTTTATATAATAAGTAACAACATTAATCTATATATATAATAAGTAACAACATTAATCTATATACATAATAAGTAACAACATTAATCTATATACATAATAAGTAACAACATTAATCTATATACATAATAAGTAACAACATTAATCTATATACATAATAAGTATAAACAAATATATTATGAAATTTAAATAAAATATTTAAAATAATATTTAACATTAATATATCAAAGATTTCTTTTTAGAAATATCAAAATTTCCAATTTATCAGAAATCAGCCTGCGGCGATGGTAACTTCAATATCACCAGCTTCACTAAAAACAGATTCTGAAGAGATTATACACTTTTATAAACAGAATGCGCAAAAAAATAACAATATGGCAGAATGTTTATTAATTAATTATTATTAAAAAATATGGATTTCGATTTTATTTATAAAAATAAATGATTTTAGATATAACTTTTTTTTTAAAATTTATAACATTTTATTTTTGTTAAGGACGCCATTTTATATCAGATCGGATCGGCAAATTTTATAATATTGGCCGATAACCGATATTTTATAATAGGTGAAATATCGGCCCGATCCGATAAAAAATATTGATACATCCCTAATTTAAATAATATAGAACAATTGTTATTCCTTTGTCCTAATCATCTCTGTTTCTTGGTATAATTACAAACCATAAATTTTTAACAAATTTATTTCTTCTTGATAAATTGTCCCATTTCATATCGAAAATCTGCCCATAATTTGTTGTCTAATATAAATTAAAAATATAATAATTTTTTTATTATAAATTTCAAAATATTTATTTAAGAAATATCAAGGCATCAATTCTGATTTGCCAGACAGGACAATACAAACCGTGCTGCACTTAGTAATACCTATCAATGAAAGCACATGTACAAAAATAAATTACCTCTGGGTTAAAATTTTTCTAATCACATTCGATATGTGGACAGATCATTACAGAATAAGAAACTATATTACATTTACACTTCAAATGATAATCTTGAAATGATTCACTTTACTAATAGCAACTCATTATATAACACCAGAATTTCTAACTGAGATTGATAAAATTGAGTAAGAATTTAATTTAATGAAGAAAAAACACAGTCTCAAATGTTAGGCCCCAATGCTAAAAGGGGTTTTTGATTAGGTGAATATAAACACCACTTATATGGGTCAGGGTATACCTAAAACGAATTATTTGTTATTCGATTTGATTCGATTCGTATTTTACGAATACGAATAACACAATTATTCGAAATTATTCGTCGAATAATTTTTTATCTATTATTCGAGATTATTCGACTAAAATAATTTATAGTATTAATATATATTGGAAAATAATCATATATAAATCATATATTATTATTAGGAATTATTTGAAATTATTTCAATTAAATAAAATCTCCTAGTGGAATAATGAAAATTGCGCCAAATTTTGAAACTCCATTTTAATTTATCTCATAATAGACCATTACTTTTCTTTTATGATAGAGATGGACGAAGAAGGTAATTTATATAACACATAACATATAACATATACAATTATAATAAACTGTTAATCCCATCACATCAAGAATGACTGGAAAACCTAAACAATCCGAAAAACTTTATGTTTGAAAAATTGGCTGTTGTCAGATTTATCTTTTACATTATAGATATGAATATTATATTGATTTTTCCACATTGTATATAAATATATTATATATGTATGCTTCTATTTTGTCTCACAAATAAAATTTATTTGTCTTTATCCTTAGTTAAATTTTACAAAATAAATTTTATAATAGATCTTTTTTAATTCATGGTAAATAAAATTTTCTAATCGAATCGAATATTCGACTAATCGAATCGAATAATCATTTTATTATTCATACGAATACGAATAATAAATTATTCGATTCGATTAATATTTTTGTAGGTATAGGTTAGGGTTTGCATCATCAAGGTACAGTAGATGGTTGGTGCCCTTTGTTGAAAATCTTATCAAAAATTTAAAGGTGGATAGTGGCGGCTTAAATCGACTTATTGTTATAAATTTTTTATTATATATTTTTTTTAAATTGCTGCTTTTTTTAAGAAAAATTGCATTAAAATAGACACTACAGATATATCAGCATATTTTGAGATCTTTATTGAAGAGAAAACTCATTATACAAAATCTATTTTGTAATTTTATAATTGTCATGTATAAAAATTATTTTATTTAAATTTTCCGGACATAATAATGATCTTGAATTCAACATGAACCCAGAGGTAGAAAAAATTCCTTCATTGGGTGTGCTAGTTTTTGGGATACAAAGAAATTTTTTGGCAACACTTGAAAGATTAGGAAGTATCTTCCTTTCTCTCCAAAAAGTTAAAACATTCATATCTGGTGAATAGCGTTTTCCAAGAAGAATATAGCAATATTGTTCTAAGTCACCTAAAATGGAATCATTATTTTGTCAAATACAATTTAATAATATCTTTTGATTCTCAATTGGTATATTTACTTCCCGAATATCATCATTCTCTATAAGTTTAAGACGATGTTATAATAAATTCCGATGCTGAACAATTTTACTCTATTATATACTTTGACACAATTGTCAATTTTTGAAATCCTAGGTCTAGAAGAGAATCCAGTACCTAGATAATTTTTTAAATAATTAATTAAATAAATGATATTATATATCAAACCTGAAATCATAACGCAAGTTTTTTTAGCATAAATTCTTTTAGTGAAATGATTTCTGAGCTATCACTCTCATTTACTATTAAATGTGTTTTTATTTTTTTTTAAAAGGTAATGCCAAGTTTTAGGAAGGCCCTTTTTGTGCAGATAGAAATTCAACTGCTTCTTTGAGTTTTGAAGGAAAAGCAGTTCCTCTACTAGATCAGATTCGTAATTAGATAGTTTAAAAAGATGTTTCCCAATTCTTTTCAAAACCTTATTAATTAAATTTTTATTTTCTCCATATATGCTTTCAAGTATAATTGATATACTATCCCACTTGGTTGGAACATTGGCTTTCATAAGTGTGGAATATTTTTTATTATCATCACTGGAATTGCCAATTTAAAAAGGGGTATCAGGGTATGGATCAGTGCTATTCAGATCTAACATATCTGATGTTAGATTTACTGTACTTATAAAATTCAATCTGCAGATTTATATCTTAGAGCAGTTATAATTTGTATGACCCAAACTAGGGCGATGCCGATATTAAATATCGGATCAGATCGGTACCGATATTTAGCTTTTTCCGAAAAAATAAAAATACATTACATAAAATAAAATAAAATAACAAAAAAAAGAAAAGTAAAAAGATTGGATCGGGTTTGAAGCAATATCGGATCGGATCGGTGAAAAATATGTGGATCGGCACAGCCCTAACCCAAACATTAATGATGTTTATATTCACCTAATCGAACACTCTTTCTAACATTGGGCCCCAGCATGAACATTTATATTTTTTTCTTCTTAAATTAAACTCTTCCTCAATTTTATCAATCTTAGTTAGAATAATCTCACCTGTATATTTTTGGTGCTATATATGAGTTGCTATTAGTAAAGCAAATCATTTCAAGATTATCATTTGAAGTGTAAAGGTAATAGTTTCTTTTTCTGTAATGATCTGTCCAAGTATCGAATGTGATTGAGAAAAATTTTGACCCAAAAGGTTTTATTTTTGTACGCGTGCTTTCATTGATAGATAAACATTATTAAACGCTGTACGGCTTAGAGTTGTCCTATCTGGCAAATCATAGTGATGCCTTGATATCTCTAAAATAAATATTCTTAATTTATATTAGGCTACAAATTATGGGCAGATTTTCGATAATAAATTGAACAATTTATCAAGAAGAAATAAATTTTCTAAAAAATTTTTCTGGTTTGTAAAGCCACCCAAAAACAGAGGTGATAGGGCAAAGGAATATGCAATTGTCCTATATTATTTAAATTATTATGACTAATCTTATTGTTGGCGCTATATGAAATTCAGCTATTGTAAACTTTTTCCAGCTATTTATATGTTATAATACTAAAAATATTTATAGATTTATTAAATTTAGTTGCAATATTATCCATTTAAAAAGAAAAATATAATTATATTAATTTCTCGATTGATTGATTGAATTTTAAAATGTCAAAATAATTATTATTTTAAAATAAGTATAAAATAAAAATTCATCAAAATCCTGATTGACAATAAATAATTACAACAGTTATGTGGACCAATTATTAGAATAATTTTAAAAAAATTATGTCACGCTGATATGAAAATAGGCTACACCCGGTCGTGATTTTCACAAATGACGACGTTTTCGGCATTTTAAGGGTTAATGCTATATGATTTGTGATTAGCCCAAAAATTTATAGAATAAATAAGATCATAACAATATAGTTTGACCCCTTATAATTTCTTCTACAAATATATTATATATTGTTGCTTCATTTAGTGCTGTTAAATGTCTTGATGGGCTAAATTTTGAGTTAGCCTACAACGCTACATACTATCATAATTTTTTTTTTTTTTGAATAATAGATTTTGCTAAATAGTGGGGCCGATCTAACATTTTTACCACTTCTTAATTCGGTCAAAAAATCCTATATTTTCACACCTCTCGATTCTGACGAATCCTCTGATAATACATCTCAAACGCTTTCAATTAAAACCCTATGGTTGGACTCGAAGCACATTATCTCTATGCAAAATTATTGTCACTTAGCTTTATCTAAGTATAAAAAAAGTTCATACTTTAGGTGCACTGGACGGGCAACTAAAGACGATATCTTGATATCTGTTGATGACCGCGCCAAAAGGAGAGAAATTCTAGAAATTTTATTAGCTTGTGGGGCTAAACCCTACCTTTTGAATGCTAAGGTAATGGATTATTAATTATTCTATTGCACAATAAAAGTTTATACAGTATATTTTTTGGAAATTTTTTTAATAATTTATAAAGATAATTGTTTTATTATGAGATGTACAGGACCGAACCCACATATTCCCGATTTACATCCGCTTATGTTAAAATAGCCTTTAAAATTGAAGGCCAAATTAATAGTATTACAATTTTCTTCTTATTTTTTAAAATAATTATTATGATGGATAAAATCCTAATTTTAAATTTACGATCTATGTATAAAATTCTTATCTCATTGCAATATATCATTTTCTAACTCATTTTATCGCATTGCTTAGTCATAATAAATTATATTTATCGCTTGTTTTGTAAATTAAACATCAATGAATTAACCATCACTTCCGGCGAATTTCGCTGTTTATAGAAAACGTGTGTTCAAGCGTTGCAATATTTAACTTTATGCTAAATCAAAGCTAATTCTTCATAGCAATGAAATTTAATAAAAATATAATCTTAATAGCTTTATAACAAAGATTTAATAAAGATAATTATCTACTTTTTAAAATTGTTAATAAAAAACTATTAAAGATAATTTCGCTATTAAATCTTTTTTTCAAATTTTACCATAGCGTTAAATTGCGATGCATAGGATAAAGAAAATATGCAATACTGTTATAAAAATAACGAATTTCGAAATATATAGCGTTAGAAGCTCTTTGCTTTATTTCAAGTATTAACGCTCAATTTCTTTGTTATTAACGTTATGAAGAATCCGCTGTGATTTCGATAGCGTTAAACAACACAACGCGTGAAGATAATGCATTTACTATAAATGAGGCTTTAGGCCCATGTCCAAGCGGAAATTGAGCGTTCGGTAGACATTTACTTTAAAATATGGGAATTCTTCCAAATAAACACAACTAAAGCAGACGATAAAAATTTTTAATGCGCAAACGCTTTGAAACATCCAAGTCTTAGGAAATAATAATTTACAACGCTCGAATTTTGGTTTACTATATTTTGACATTATGTGTTAGAAAGCTCTGGATTGGTCTAAATATAAGTTATTACAAAAATTTGATAAATTCGGTACCAATGAAAACGTCTGGTCCGCTACATCTATTTTTTTTCTAACATTGAATTTACAAATAAGCTTTATAGGATCTTAATTATTCAGGAACCAACAAAAGTCTAAATTTTAGGCTCGTCATGAATTTAAATCAACCTGGCTTTTGTAATGGTCTCTCTTGGGGTTTTATTTGGTCCCATTCTAGGTTTTTTGGTCATTTAAATTAATTTTATATATAATTTTTTAAATGAAATTGAAAATTTACGAGGCAAATAATGATGCATCTCTCTATTTCTTTGACTGATCAATTGATAATTATTTTTAAAAAATTCCGCTTGTATCTTTTTTTTAAGTTATCAAACGATCTTGCTAGCAGGGTTGGGCAGTATTGTGGATATTTGTATCTTTTTTTAAATTTTGGAAAGTATCTTGTATCCAGTATCTAAGATACATATTATTTAAAAGTATTTGTATCTTAACCAACTTTGTATTCAAAAAGACACAGTTACATTAAAAAAAATTTATATTAGTTAATTTAAATAGTATTAAAATTTAAAATGACATTATTTTATAATTTAAATGAAAATTTTAATCACCAACCGAAAAATATAACTACAAATTTAAATTAAGTATTTTAAATGGGAAATTTTTACAAGTACTTCAAAATGATCATAATAAAATTACTGCTGAATGTAAAGAATGCCACAAATCTATAAGTGGTTATACAGACTCGTCATAAAATTTTATCAAACATCTGAAAGTATAATATATAATGATATAATAAATCACATTTATAAACTTGTTCATTATCCAATATTCCATATATCTGTTGCTAAATTTAGAAGTATTTTAAAATAAATTTTTATAAAATGATTGATAATGAAATTAAAAGGATATATAAAAATCATCTATGAAAAGAATAAGAAAACTAATATTGATAAAAAAAGAGGTTGTTAATTTGAACACTAGGCCAAAATATAATCCAAATATTTGGGGCACCATTTTTATATGATAGATAGTACTTAGAAATATTTAATTCACCTTTCATATGTATTTTTTTTTACATATATTCTTAAAATATAATTTTCTTTATAAAATTAATAGAATTGCATTTAAAAAAATTCTTACAAATGTATTTTGTAAATAGTTGATTTTACAAAAAATTTTATAAAATTTTAATGGGTATTAATTATTATTTATAAATAAGACAAAAGTTTTTAATATAAATACATTTCATCTAATTTTATCATTTCAAAGTAGAATTTTTTATAAAAAAATTAGTAATTATCTAATATAAAATATTTTATTTGTTTCACTTATAGAGACGTCATCTGGAATCATATAAAAATTATAACAACCATTATAAAATATTACACAAACAGAAAAAACAAAAAGAAATTGTGAAAACTGCATCATTAACTCAAAAAGCTTTAGAATTTTTAAATGATAAAAAAATATCTCTAGAAAAATTTAATAATTTATCAACTTCATTTGTTGTTAAAGGAATGCATTCATTATCTATAGTTGGATGGAAGGTAAATTTAATTTTTTTTCTCTTATCCTTATCTCATCTACTTGTCAATTTATTAGAAATGTTATCTTGTATTGGATTAACATTATCAATTAAAAATTTTTCTCGAAGATCTTTGCAAGAAAAATTGATAACAGCTTCATATATGAAATGTAATAATTTAAAACAGTTATTGAAAGCTCAGACATAATGAAATTGTTAACAACCATTATATTAACTTAATGATATTATTTCTTTCATGTGATGTATATTAACAATTTGATTCACTAAATTGAATTCGAAAAGGTATTTATATAGATAATTTTTTAGTTAGAGAGTAGCATTCATTATGAAATAAATAAAATACACTTATTAAAATTAGAAAATTTCCTATGTGCTTCTTTTTGATATTGATGATGGATGAAAGTACTTCAAACTTAGAAAACTTCATGGCATATTTCATGGCTTACTACAGAAATTATATGCTATTTTATTTATAAATTCAATTAAATAAATATTTAAATAAGCTCTCAATTGATAGTTTACAAAGACAATCTCGGGCCCTTGTTGTAAGAAGATTTTTAGGAAGCCACACATATGATAAAATAGCAGAATTAGTTGATGAAATCCATCGACTTTGGAATTGATGAAAAAGTTATAGCAACTGTTACAGATAACGGTTCTAATTTCAAGAAAGCTTTCAAGGAGTTTGGATATTCTATGGAAGGTGTGGAGAATGATTTTGACATCAATGAAGATGAATATATAAAATTCGAAATCAGTGAAAGTAATACTTTTTTTATAGTAAAATTTATTCTGATATCATAAATTTAGTAAAAAAAATTTATTCAAATAAAATTATTTATTTGTTTAAATTTAAGGGTCTAAAGAAGCCTCATAACATTGCCTCAACACATTCGTTGTCTGTGCCATACGATAAGTTTTATTGCCATGACAGATGTCGAGAAAGCAGTGTTGTTAAACGCTACTTTTAAAAGTAGCGCGCTATCGCTACCGCTATCTTTATCAAAAAAGTAGCGCGCTATCGCTACAGCTATCGTTTTCAAATGAGTAGCGCGCTATTAGCTACTTTTTACTCTACTTTGATTTTTTTTTTAAATATTTTTTTTTACGTAACTTTATTTCCACAAATAAAATATTGATATAAAAACATGACTATAATTTGTTACATATATATATAATTTATTTATTATTGCACTTTAATAATAATAACATTTCGGTACTGTCATCCCCAAGTCTAGAGCGACGATTAGAAAGTATAAGCTTTGCCATACTAAATAATCGTTCAGCACTAGCACTTGAGGGCAACGCAGTATTAAATTTAATAAACAAACTTTTTATATGAAAAAAATCATCAAAAATATTTAAATTAGTATTTTTAGATTTAAAAAAAGCATTTAGAGGTTAATTAAAAATACTTCAGTATATTCTTTAATAAAGGTATGCTACTCCACATTAAAATACTGTATTCCCATTTGATCCAATATATAATTCATTTCCATTTTTTTCTCATCTAGAAACAATGCTAAAAGTTTCATAGCATTGTAAACACTATTCCATCTTGTAGTGTTTGGTGTCAATAAATAACGTCCTAATTTTTTTTTGAAAATATCAGACGTCTTTGATGACTTATTTTGTTTATTCCAAAGAGCTTGGCATTTAGAAAATGTATCTTGATACTCTTTTAAAATCCTCATTTAATAATGCTTCTTCAGCATCCACTGTCGCAACTAAATTTAGGTAGGTTGTGGCAGGAAGAACGATGATGGCTAGGTAACGTAGAAGACTTTATTAAAGATCCTAAATATTATAAATTTTATTTTATATTGGTGAAAAATTAAATATAAAATAATTTAAAACCAAGGATGTCATGAACATCAATTATCTCAAACTCCATTTCATCATCCTCTTCTTGTTCTCCATCTTCAATATTTTTTTCAGGAATATTACTAGTATTGTTATTATTATTATCCTCCCCAAATATTCCATATTATTTATATCATATTATAAAAAAATTATAATAAATTTAAAACCTGAAGGCCTTTAGGAAATTAGACCCATTATCCGTAATCATCTTACAAACCTTGTTTTGAATTTTGTAAGACCTATGGATTTCTGCAATAATATTGGCTAGAATGTCATAAGTCTGACAGCCAATTATTCTATTTAGAGCTTACAGATTTTCGTTTAAGATTTTTAGGATCAATTCAATGTGCAGAGCTCTAAAAATATGACATATTTTAAATCAGAAAATAAACATTTTTACCTTTTATTGTGAGTCCAGCAATCTGCCATTGTACAAACGTAGGAGACATCTGATAGATTTAATATCAAAGATTCTTTCATTTCCTTAAAGCTCTCCAAAATTCTTGCCATCAATGTCTGCCGGCAAAATATCTTGGTCCGTGGAGAAAAAGTGTTTGTCATCTTTATAAAAGAATCATTATCCACCAAGGATAATGGTTGAAGTGTATCTATTATAAAGTTCATAATGACTTTGTCAGCCAATTTTTGGGATACACCAGGTGTTGATGAATCCAAATTGGTTAATTTTGTTTGTATTAAATTTGATTTGGAAGTGGGTTTATCTTCTTCCATTACCCCAAAACTTTTGAGATATTTTTCAATCTCTTAATAATTTGAAGTGTGCACAGTCTAAAATTATAAAATACTTAGAATAAAAATTATGTAGGATATAAGTACATAAAAATGATTGAAATAACTATTTTAAAATGTTTTAAATAATTTAGATAAAATTTATGAATATATAAAAAAAATAATTGGTTTTTGATTTTAATTTATTTTAAAAATTATAGATTAGCCTACACATTGATATTAAATTTGTTTAATATATTACCTTTAAATGTTTTTTCAAACTAAAGCTGCTCGTATGATTTGTAGAGATAATTTTGTGGCACATCTTGCACCGAAACCGATATCCAGTTATAATTTTTTCTTCAAGGTTAAAGTATTTCTTGAATTTTGGGAAAGGATCATCTATATTTTGCTCATTTTCCAAAGAAATTTCAATATCTTCAACAATCTCACACATAACAAGATTTATAATGCTTAATATAAAATGTAAAATGAAATATAAAATAAGATAAAAGCAAGGACATACCAATAACGGAATTTCAAAAATATATAATTTAATGAATGCGCTAAATATAAATTAAATACAGATTGCTATTTAACAACTGTTTATATCTAATATATAACAATAATGTATATTTTTAAATATAAATATAAATTTCAAAATTAAATTAAATAAAAGGATTATAATTTTAGATTTATAAAAATATATTTTAATAATTTTAGATGTATTTATTATGTAAAATTGAATAAAAAGTAGCGCGCTATAGCTACCGCTACTGAAAAAAGTAGCCGCTATTTTAACAACACTGCGAGAAAGCTATTAAGGATTCTCCTAACATTTCTAAAATTCATCATCCCGCAATAGCCAAATGTATGAAGCTATGGAATGCTAGTATTAGGCTTAAAACTGCAGAACTTATCAAAGCAGTTTTAGGAAAACAATTAGTTACACCTTGCTGCACAAGATGAAATAGTATGTTCGATTATCTTAGTAGTTTATTAAAATTTAAAGGTGAACTTCCTAAATTATGTCAATTATAATTTCCAAAATTAAGAGATATTGAAATTTTATATTTAGAAGAATATTGCAATATAATGTCCCCATTGGCTATAGCGATTGACAAAATACAAAGTGAAATCAACTGCTATTATGGAGAATCAGTTCCAATATTAAATGTTAAAAAAATTATAAATTTAATTCAAACTGATCTACATTTTTGCAAACCATTAGCTATTGCATAGAAAATTCTTTAAATAAAAGATTTAAAAAATATATATGAATTTGATAATAACTTTAAAAGCTCATTTTTAGTAACTATTTCTCATCCCTATTTTAAAAATCGTTGGATTGATGGTGAAAAAGAAAATACCTTCAGGATTTGTTAATACATAAACTTTAATTATTTTTAAAAATAATATTGAAATTAATACGTCAACAAAGTCTTCAGTTGATAAAGATGATGATTACTTTTGTTTTTAAAGTACCACATCCAATTCTAATAATTCAATAAATGATATTGAATTAGAGGTCTTAAATTATATCAAAGATGACAGGCGCAGTATAAATATGTTAAATAGTTATAAATATATAAAATAAATATTTATTAAATATAACTCAATATTACCCTCCTCTGCCCCCGTTGAACGATTATTTAGCTTTACTAATATGGTTAATACAATAGATCAAATCGTCAAATATTGAACGATAAATTATTTGATAAATGAATATTATTAAAAAATAATGTTGATTTATGATGCTGATTTATTAATATTTACTAATTATACAATTATTAAAAAAAATATCGCATTATCTAATATAATAAATTTGTTATTTTCTACAATTTATTTTCAAATTTTTTATATATTTATATTATAGATAAGAAAATAAAGCTTTTTACATTTTGATTTTGACTATTTAAAGTTTTTAAAAAAAGTATCTTGTATCTTAGATACATTTTTTAAACATGATAAAAGTATCTTGTATCTTATTGAAATTTTTCTAAAGTATCTTATATCTTAAATACAAAATTTTATAAAGTATCTGAATCTGTATACAATTTTCTGAAAATTTGCCCAACCCTGCTTGCTAGCCCTCTGATGTAATTAGTTTAATGTTCCTGTGTGAAAAATACAAAGGAGCATGAGAAATCAAGCCAGGAAAATGTATGACATGAATCCTTTATGTTTTATTAATATAGGAACAGACAGCAGTCGCCAACAAGACCCCACCTCTACCTCGCCAATCCTCAAAGTGTTATCGAAACAGATCAGGACAAGAAAATTTTTTGTATTCCCGCAATTTTGACGATACGGTAAATTTTGTGCACGTCCTAGAATGTATCACTTTAGATGATAATATAGAGGCACGTCAGAATAACCAAGTTAATGATGCCGGGGCTGAGAGTGAGATACAACAGACGTGCGATGTAGATAATCTAGCTTATTTGCAGAAATTGACTGGTTTATGAATAAATTTTAATATTTTTTTTATCTCTTCATTTTTAATATTTATGAAGATAGTATTTTATCCTTAATCTTTCTTTCGGTTATGACAAATTAGCTAACCGTTTTGGGGGTGTAGCTGAGTGTAAATTGCTGGTCCTTTGCCAACTTTACTCCTTCTTGGCATTTTTAAATTAATAATTTTTTTTAAATTAGCTTATATTTTTAAATTTTAACTCTTTTTATATATTTTGCAAAAAGAAGCTTGAATTTACATTAAGATTCTTTTAATTATAAAATTATAGGCAATTATAAAGGTTATTTTTTTAAATAAGAAGTGGGCAATAATATTTATTGTTTTGGGCAGTATAAAAATGATCTGGTAGGTTTTAAATTGACTTGACATTATTTCGCTCAGAATAAAAATTTAAACGTTCAGAATTGTTTATACTTTAAAATCTGAGACTTTTCTCTGAGCCTTTCATATATTTTTCCATTATTATTTTTTTTTTAATTTGAGTAAATATAACTAACATAATATGTTATAAAAAGAAAGACATATAAATTAATAAAGGCTATAAATATTAAAAAATATATAATTTAATAAGGATAAAGATTTTTTTAAAAAGAGGTCTAAAAAATATAATAGTATAAGGAGGCGTGAAAAATTATTCAATACAAGAAATTACTCTTAGTTAGAAAACTAATAATCGCGGTAAGAGTGAACGTTAAAAAAAAAAATTTTATTTGTAAACTTTTTTAAAAAAATCCCATGTTTAGTTAAAATATTTATTTTATACGAACTCTAGCCCAACGGTTTTTTTATCGCGTTGAACCAAGAGGCTATATACTATAGGTCTGCATTGGGCCGGTTTTTGAGCCATAAGCCCCCCATCCAATATTTATAAAAAATTTAACCTGCCCGCCCAGTCTAAAATTCCTTAGTCTAAAAATTTTTATCCGCCCATCCATTATTTATAAAAAAAATATTAACCCAAGTCACATATTATAAAATTTAATTGTGGCAATTCTTTCAATTTTTTTTAAGCATCTAATAAAAAATTTTCAGCATTATACCTCTTCAAGAAGTTTTATCATTATGGAAATTACTATATTAAGCATAAAAAATATTCAATTTAAATTATGGATAATTTATTTGATCAAATAAAATTATTATGGAAAATTATAAAGATATTATATGAAGACCTGTGCGCCGGTGTCCCAATTGACGGCGGCGGTTTTTAAAATTTTTTTATCGGCGTTCGTCGGCGGCGCAATATTTATTTTAAAATTTTTTTTAATGAATTTAACTTATAAATCAGTTTATTTTTTAATGAATATAATTTATTTGGACCATCTTTTCTAACATATTGTTAACATAGTTTAATTGATCATAAATAATTTCCTGTCTCGCTCCAATTTAAATTTATGTATTTTCTCATTCTCAGAAATAGACTAAGGAATTGTATTTTTACTCAGATCAGAGTCACATCAACCAACACATATGATTTTTATTATAATTAAAATAAATTTGGAATGCAAGCAAAATATAAAGTATGAAATATAAGTCAGAGAATTAGCAAAATGATAATTGTCATGAATAAACAGTATTTTATCAAGATTTGTGTAAAGAAGTCCTTTTAGCATTGAGTGTTAATCCAGCAATGGAAAAAATTCTTTCGCTGGGTGTACTGGTTGCAGGTATACAAAGAACCTTTTTAGCTAAATTAGCAAGCATAGGAAGCTCCAGTCTCTTTTTCTTCCAAAAGATTAATGCATCCTCTTCTGGGATATTATTTTGGCTGAGCAAAATATGGCATTCTTGTTCTAGATTGCTAATATTGTTATAATCGTTACTTGGAAGGGAATGTTTACGAGCTAATTTAGCTATATAAGAGCTTGATATTTGACCATTATCCTCAACTTGAATTTCACTCAGTGCATTTCTATCATGCTCTAAAAGTTTTAAATGTCGAATTAAAAATATTCGAATTTAAATATTCTGAAACAACTTTGAGATTTTGAAATCTGGGATCAAGTAGAGGCTAATATCTAATGTTTAAAATATAATTTTATAAATAAAAATATAAAATAACTTGAAGTTCAGTAATGGGAAACCTATGGTCAAGCTTTTTTTTTCTTTTCTTTTAAGCATATAATATCTGAGCAATCAGATCTATTGATTTGTATATGAGCTTCTATTTCACTGCGAAATAATAACCTTAAGTTTATTGTCGATCCTTTTTGGGAGGAAAGAAATTCCACCGACTCTCGGAATGGATTTAATACTGCGTAAAGCTCATCAATCATATCCCATTCATTATTAAAGAGTTTTAAATATTGTTATCCTATTTTATTTAGAACATTATTTATAGGAATTTTGTTTACACTGCGAACACTTTCTAGCATAATTAATATGCTATGCCAGCGGGTAGGGCAATTTAATTTTAAAGTTTTTGCATTAATTAGATTGGTTGATGCAATGCCATTTCTATTATCCGATTCATCAGACATATCAAAATGATCATCAAGGTATGGATCAGAATTATCAATATCCAAGATATTACCTGTTTCATAAATTGACTGCAGACATTTACGATGTTCAGTCTCAATTTCACATACCAAATCCTACTCGATATTTGAGGGCTGAAATAATTTTTATAATGAGAATATCAATTTTGGTAACTTTTTTTATGCCATTAATTGTAACCAAATTATGAAATCCATACCCTAAGCATAAATGATGCTCATAATCCCCTAATCTGACGCTTCTTTTGACATTGGCCTCCAGCATCAGTTACCTTTTGTATTATTTTGGCTTTTAAATGGAACTCCTCTTCATATCAATCTCATATAATATTGTTTCTTCAGTATGCTTTTGAGTCACATTTATAATTGCTAGGTTAAAATATTTTAAATCAAAATTTTCATCTAAATGATGAAGACTAAATGGTGATATAATTTCGACGCTTGAAATGATCGGTCCATAAATCAAAAGTGATAGAACTAAATTTTGAGAATCAATCAGATTTAAAACATGCGCCTTTGATAAATAAACATCGTCTAGTGCACCCCGACTAATGGTTGTCCTATTTGGTAGTTCTGACGAGGAATAAATTATCTTATATTTCTATTTTTTGGGCAATTTATTTTTTAATAATCATTTTATATAAATTTTAAACCTTTAGAAAATCTGTCATTCCTTTATTGTTTATAGAATCAAATGGCATTAAATTTAAGCAGCACATCATAACATAATTTCGCCCCATTAGATTTCATATTTATTTAAAAATTAAAAAGATATTTAAAACATCAAAATAGCTAGAGCTGGAATGAAACAAATTATAAATTTGATTTAGTTATAACTTCCAAAATAAAGTTTTACATAATTAATTTAATAAATTTTTTTTTTCCTCCTAATAAATAACCTTTATTTTTCATCATCCAAAACAAACAAAGAAATCAGTTTTTTATAAAACAAAAATATATTATTATAATATATAATAATACTATTAAAAAAAAGAACGGAAATGGTGTGGCGCAGGGAAACAAAAATGAAAAAGGGACGTAAGTGTTGTTTAGGATAGCTCTTTGGCTAGAAGACTACCATTGAAACTGATATAATTAGCTTTGAGAATCGCTATGGATAGTCGTTGACGAAGAAAAAAACCCTCTCGAGGTTCTTCTGAGAGTTTGCTGATTTGTGATCCTAAGTTTTTGAAAAATGCTAAGGCGAGTTTGCCGAAGGTGCCAAGAGTGGTTGATATGATTGGGATAAAGCAATGATCGTTCATTATTTCTGTGTATTTAGAAGTTTTAAGTTGTTCCTTCTGGTCAAGGATGTTGATGGCGTGGTTGGATGGGGCCAAGGGGTCAATACAGGAATAGTCCCATACCAAAAGTTGGCCTCTCCTCCATGGGATTTGAGAGATCCCGTCAGGACGTTTACCGTCAGATCTAAAAAGACCCTGTGGTTCTAGAGTGGAAGGAATTTGCGGATTTCAGAGCATGTTGGATGATTGTATTACATTGCTTGTGTCTGATGAATCGTCCATTGCAGGAGCGACAATGTAAACTATGTCTACCCTTCGAGTCAACTGGCGAGTTGCACCCTGAGCAGATGTGAGGGTGAGTGATGGAACAATTTAGACGAATGCCGATGGTGTTGGTAAATTCATTGTTAGATAGTTGAAGCTGAAGATTGGTAGAAGGGATGGCCTCAAGAAACTCATGTCCCGTACCATTGAGCAGGGAAGAGAATAGGGTGCGGTCGGTAGATTGCATGAGATAAGAGAGTTTCAACGCAGCGAGCAACCACTGGTGCATCCCAGTCTTTCTGTCTATAGGTTGTGGGGGGATGAGAATCAGCATTGATCCTTGTTTTCCAAATAAATTATATATTAAGTTTATACATTAAAAAGACATTTAAAAAAATATAATAATTAGAGTTGGAATGAAACAAATTATGAATTTGATTTAGTAGTAACTTTCAAAATGAAGTTTAACATAATTAATTTATTAAGTTTATACATTTAAAAATCTCAAAATAGAGCTAGCAATAAATAAACTAAAAATTTAGTTGTTTTGATTCAAAATGAAGCTTAATAAAAATAATATTACAAACCAATTAAAAATTTTAAATGAATAATAATAAACAATAATACTAACCTAAGAGCCATTTTTTATCTTTAGTATTGTTGTTGCATCTTGGTGTTGGCTTTAAAAATATTTTTAGACTTTGAATGGATTTATTATTATTCATTTTTTCTGTTAGTTTGTGATAATTAATTAAGTGCCGAGATAGATTACTTGTACTTATATTTTTACTAAAACATTTTCTTTCATAACTAAAATATAAAATATATATAAATATAAGTCTAAAATAAAAATAAATTACTGTGAAAATGAATTATGTTAATTCGAATTTTCCTCATCTTTTTTCGCCAATTTTAAGCAAGGTTCACAATAAATATAATCAGGCATTTTCATCTTCAAAATAAGATTTCCAAAGTACCTCCAGACATAACTTGATTTATGATTAGTAGAGAGAGTTGTTATTTCATAATTGTATATAGGGTGGTTTAAAACGTGCAAGTCCATAAAAATAATTTTTTTAAATTGTTTGTGGAAATAAATATGATGTATGAATGAATGTAAATAATATACACTAGTCTATTATATTATATATAGCAATAGAATACAATTCATATTTTAATTTTATTAATGTTAGAATTCAAATTGAAATAATAATAATTTAATATATAAATATAATTTATATGCTTTCTAAAAATTACACACGCGCCGATGATCTCAATCGGCGGCTTTTCCGGCGTGAGCCTAATTATATGTAATTATAATGCAAAAATAATAATGAACTAACATTTTCTGAACTCAAACACTTCTTTTTTGTTCTAAAAACTTCCAGCAATGCTAAATTCTCGTTCAGAAGAAGTACTAGTTGCAGAAATGCCAACATTTTTTCTTGCTAATCTTGATAGCTATGGCAAATTTCTTTCTTGTTGTTTCCATCAAAGTAGTTTTAAATATACAAAAGAGTTTTTATGATACCAAAAAAGGACATTTTAATATTTAATATCCAAAAAGTTCATAAGAACCATTATTTACTAATATTTACTTAAAAAATTTTAATTTTTTTTAGCCCATCCGCCTATTGTTAAATTTCTTAACCCGCCCACCCACCTGCCTATAGTTTAAAAAAATTTTAACTCGCCCGCCTGTCAATTTTAACTCGCCCGCCTGTCCTCTCTTAAAATATTTTTTACACGCCAAATGCAGACCTTACCTTACTGTATATCTCAACACATTTAATATATATATAATAAGTATTTTTAAAATAAATAATTAGATTCACCCTTACCTCTAACTTGGTTAGCAAGGATTAATAGGAGGAATCGTTACTTTAAAAGAAGATGTTCACTGGAAGAAGACCTCGCGAAGAAAAAATCTTTACCTAAATATATCGTAGATTTTTTAACTTTAAAGCGATTGTGGAATTGAACTATTTTAGCAATATTTATATATATATAATGTTTCTGTTATTTTTATGTACGATGTATAAATTCCTGGAATTTTACAACTAATGTACATATATTTTTTTATTAATATAAAATAAAAAGGATTATATTTTAATAAAATGCTTTATCCTGACGAAATGATCTGGGGTCAGAATCATCCAGACCATAAGAAGTCAATTGTAATGGAACATTTACCCACAATTGGATCAAGGTATAAATATTTATTTTATTTAAAAGCTTGAATAAAAAATTCCCTAATTAATGACACCAGCCATCAGTATCTCAATTAAATGATGAAGAATTATTAAGATACCAAATAAATTAAAATGAGAAATCTGGATATAAATGGCTTGAATTCATGAGACCTACAGTAATTGACAGATCAACAACAGATAGTTAATGCTGTTGTTGAAAATAGAAATGGAGTAAATATATCCAAGAGTCATAAATATGAAGAAAAATTGATGACTATGGAGATTGAGCCATGTGAAGACCAGTAAAATGATTTATATTTATCTAAAAATATCAATATTATTTATGAGAGGCCTAAATACATTTAATGATCATCAATATTTCTTTAAAAACAAATATTACAGCTATACCACATATTGAATAATAGTCAAGAAACTACAAACAATGAGACACAGACAACCATCGAAACACACAATAATAAAAAAGCTTTAGGGCTTTTTAATACCAAATAAATTATTTAATAATTTGTTAATATATTTTTGTATGCATACACACTACCGGCTATAAATACTGCCCACCCTGCATTTTTACATCAAAAAATTAATAACTTAAAACTTTTTAACTTATTTGGGTAAAAGCGAATTGATTATTTAATTTAAAATGTCTAGACATGTTTAGAAATAAAAAAATTCGGAATTTTTATAAATCTTTCTATGAAATTTTAGCCTTTGGAAATAACATGTCAAAAATGACCAATTTGGTAAAATAGGGTTCATTAGTTTTTTTCAGCAACAATTTTAAGTTGCCCATTGTTTTTTGGAAGAAAGTTATTAATCACATTCTAATCTGTTTATTAATACCTATTTTTAATTATTTTAAAAAAAATTCCTAGATTTTTTTTGTTTTAAATCATTGTTTAAAGAAACTTTCAGTCTTTATAAATATTTTAACGAACATTCGACCAAAATGATTAAAAGAAAATAAATTTCTATTCCAACTAAATACAAAATAATTAATTTACACATAAGTGGTAAAAGTAATCGTCGAATTGCCTGAGAATTAACCCTAGCTCGACGAACAGTCGATTGTGTACTTAAAAGATTACGCAACAATAATACAATATCGAATCCAAAGAGGCCTGGAAGACCCCGCAAAACGTTTAAGCGATGATAGGTATATAGCAAGGATCAAACGCAATCGACGCCTTGTCGCCTCAGAGATAGGTAATATACCCACCGCTCAGCTGGAGAGCGAACACTGCATAATTCCTACAACTCAGAGGAGGGTCTGTTATGGTGTGGGGGTGCTTCGGTCCCGGGGTAACCGTCGACATTGTCAAAATTTAAGAAACTTAACAAGGAGGGATACCGGCAAATCCTTGAGGACCATGTGATTTCATCAGGAAAGTGTTTGATCGGGAATAACTTTTTATTTCACAAGATAATGACCCAATACATCCAGGCTATACAAAGATTATTTACAAAATCTACAACACGATATTCTCGAGTTGATGACCCAGTCTCCCGATCTCAATTCAATCGAACTTTTATGGGATCACCTTGATCGACAAGCGCGAAAAAGCCCATTAACCTCTCATTCGCACCTTTGGGAAGTATTGCAGAGAAAATGGAACAATATCACTTTCGAATATTTAAAAAATCTCATCGAAAGATTACCAAAAATTTTTGCAGCAATTATTAAGAATAAAGGTGGTCATATTGATGAGACCAAAATTTGATCTTAATTGCTATGTCTTTTAAATTTTATGCAATAATATGTAAACTTATAAATAAATTTGTTAAACCTCATATTGTGTGTTATTTGTCGTATTTTAAGAAAAATGTCTAAGAAAATTCAGGGTGGGCAATCATTTATGACCGGTAGTGTATATATATAAAATTTTATAAAGGACCGGAAAAAAAGTCCCTTTCCCTCTGACAAAAAAATCTAAATTCTAAGTAGGAATTACAAGCGTTATTTGAAACACCTCCTTATCGTTCTTAGTTCCTTTAACACACATGTAAAACTCTACCCCTCTTATTTTATTCATTAATAATAAAGTTAACAACAAATGTAATTCTTATTTTTCTTGTAACAAGGTTTTTGATTTTCATTTTTCATCATTTTTATATATTGCATTTGATATTTATTTAATCATTTAAAAATTATAAATAAATACCCTATATTTTTTTAAAACAATATATTTGCCATGTTTAAAATTAAAACTATTATATATAATCTTTAAGATGTAAAAACAAATAAATTTTAGAAAATTAAATAATTTTAATAAAAACATAATTGGGTTCCTATAAGGGAATAATAGTAAAATTTACAAATATTGATTTGTATGTTCTGTCTAAGCAATAGGATTTTTTGAGGTTTAAATATTTGCTATTAAATTTTATGACCTAATTTTTTTTTTAAACTGTTATAAGTGAGAACTTCCCATTAGTACTATGAATTTGCAGAGGTTTTTTATTTTTTAGTCTCTGTTTGAGTAAGCAGACTACTACTTATATTAGTGAGGAAGGATGATAGATACATATAGGGATTTACCAATATGGCCCAGGGGAAAATTAGTGATTTAATTTTTATAGTTATTTATTAAAAATAAAAATTTATCTTTACATTCATTTAATAATCACTTTTGAATTTAAAATTTTTATTTATATTACACTATCCTTACATTTTAGTTTTCCTTTCATAATAAACAGTGCAATCAATCATAATTTTTTTAGAAATTATTAAAGTTTCATTTTATTATCTGATAACCAGGGTTGCCATGTTTCCACCCCTCAGCGGGAGACTGTTTTGGTTTTGTTTAATTCTAGGCCTATTTTGGGGCATTCTCTTTCGAGGTGGCAGAGGGCTTTGCTTATTTGATGTTGGTTACCGCAGAGAGTTCCATCGTCTAGATACAGTGGCGTAGCTAGAAATTTTCCTTAGAGGGGGTCCATATACATAAAAGCCTTCGGCCCCTTTGCCCGGCCTTCGGCCCGGTTTATCTTACAAATCATAACCATATCTTCGATAATATATAATAAATATATTTTTTAAATGCATCAATAATATGTTATTATAATTTAGTAGATTATTCTCAATGACTTTATAATAATACTATCCAGAATAATTTCAATAGTAATATAATATCCTTCCACAAACATCAAAACCAGAAAAATATAATTCAAATAAAATCACTTTTAAGTCTTGAATATAATCTAAAAAATAATTTTGCTCTGGGAAGGGTCCAAACCCGAAAACCACCCCCGTAGCTACGCCACAGTCTAGATACCATAGATTAAGGTCTAGATCAAAATCAGATTTGAGATCTTTCATCATATTATGGATGGCTAAGCAGAAAAGTATAGGGCCAAGGGGTCGCCCTGTTGAACACCCTCTTCAGAGTACATAACGCAACCATTGAAATGAGGGGAGTGCTATTGGTATGGCAAATATCAGCGATGCGCGAGTATTGGGGGAAATTGTTGTAAAAGGATTCGAGTGCCGAGGAATGAGATACAGTATTGAAGGCGTTCTTAAAATCAATTTTGCAAAGAACGGAGTTTATAGGTGGATGTTGTAGGTAGATTCAAAGACAGTGAGAGACTATACGCCTCCTTTTGTTCCGCAGCCTAATTGGTAGTTGCCAAGCAGGGAATGAGTATCGGTTTTTATTTTTTTTGCGATCATTTTAGTAATCAGGCGTCTGAAGAAAGAACCGATAGCAATTGGGCGGATACCTCCTTTAGGTTTTTCAAATGCAATCAAGTTAGCTCCGAACATTATTTGATGAGCTAATGTGGGGATATCTCTAGTGATTATATTATTGAGGAAGGTTGTAGGTGAGTTAAAAAAGCTATTTGAATTGTAAGATTTTAGGAATGTTTGGAAGTAGGAAGGTCTATGGCCATCAGGACCTCCTGCTGAAAATTTATTATATTCGCTTATAGTGTGTATATCTTAGTTTGATATTGTGAGCGGAGGGTTTGGTAGCTAGTATAAGAAGTTCTTGGATAAAGAGATTTTAGGTTTGCAAGGGTCGCATCATTAGATGGGGCTAGTTTTGTTTGTGAGGAGATTAATTTTTGGGCACCACATACGTCGCCTTCATTTATTTTTTTGGAGATTTTGTTACAGGTTTTATTGAAACTTTCATTAGGATTATTGGGATATTTGATATGTTCTAGAAGAAGACTATTACTTGCTCTAAAAATGTTTTTTTATTTATCTAGTAAAAAAATATAATAAATCTGAAAATATCATATGTTTCTTTCCTTAAAGCTCCAAACACAAAATGGCCGCTACTCAATTCAATTTTTGCCCCTTCAAATACATTAATCGGCAGTCTATAGTATTAATGTCATTGGTCCAAACCATGGATTTTTAAAATCTCGGCGATATTTTTCAAATTTAAGGCGAAATTGGAAATATGATCAGTACATTGAATAAATACCATTACAACTTATTGACGTGGCGTCGCTGGGGGGGGGGAGAAGGCGCAGGGGCTCGAGCCCCCCGAAAAATTTGAACAGCCCTCTGAAGCAAAAAAATTTTTTTTATGGCTCCTTAATATCCCCTTGAACTAAAAATAAATTGTTTTGATTGCCCACTATTTCTTTTATAATCTCATTAAGTAATATATAGATATAATTTTATTATTTAGAAATTAATAAGACTATTAAAATTTTTATTGAGTTTGGATATCCATTATTTGTCAGCATGAAATATTAATACATATATAATATTGGCAAAACTAGTCTACGAGAATATTATGCCCCATCCGGTAGAAAAATTTCAAGTGATAAAATTATATTTTAATCATATTTATTTACAGATTCTATGAACATTATATCTCAATATTGATAGTAGATTCCTTCACATGGATTTACAAAAAGCAAAGTTGAGTTAGTAAACAAATTCAATATAGACCATAAACTTAAAATTTACCAATACCCCTCCCTATAATATACATCTTACTTAATCGGGCACGGGCTTTTCTCTCTCTTATTATCTCCCGTAGGCGTTTAAGCAAGTGGTTTCGCCTCTTGCGCGCACAGGTAACTGCAGCCTGCCCAAAAATTGTGGATGGGCTCATCTCATAGGTTACCCCCAAATTTCTTAACCCAATTAGATGGGATGAGATAGTCCAAGCGTAGCTCTGCTGTTTCATATAGCGATAAAGGGCAATTGCGCTTATTATGACGTATGACGTAAAATTTTTATTAAATGAATATTATTTTAATTATTAGATTAGATTAATACATATAAATTATATTTTCACTATGTCAGCTTGCAATCAAATTCTGTATTAAAAATATAATATCAATAACTCACTAAATATTAATTTAGCTTTAACAGTTAAAGCTTAAATGACTTTTATTATTTAACCAGAATTAAATAAATATAATCATATATTATTTGAAAATTAACAAATTTAATATTGTAATTAGCCGAGTTCAAAATGACTAATCAACTGTATATTTATTTTTAAATTTTCTTATTATATACCCATAAAAATATTTTCAAGGTCCAAATAAGTATAAGTTTCTTTATAAAAAGTAAGTAGACATATAGTTTATATTCCTCTACTATATACAATTGTTTATAAAATATTAGATATAATGCCACTTTTATAGACATATTTAACAGTTATATAATATATTACAGTTAATTTATAATAAATTTTGCTAATATATGGTTTTGATAATAAATATAATAACAAATTGCTTTAAGTATTTAACGCCATCTATTTAGTTATAAATAGTTTTAATAATTAAATATTTAATTATTCATCCTGCAATAGATGTAATAAATTTGATATCTTTTCTTCTCTTTTTTTACGTGTTTTTAGGAAAGCTATTTTTTTCTTTTTTCGAAAAACAGTCTTGAGTTAAATTTTTAATACAAGTATATTTTTGATATTATTACAAACTACTTTTATTTTAAGATATAATATACCAAGGTGGTGCGACAATATATAAAATCTTAATTGTTTCATCATATCATTCTGGTCCTTTTATATAGTTAGAAAATATTTATTTGGCATTGCCGTATAAATAACTCCAGGCTTCAATATATTTGCATGATTATTCCTTCCAAAGATTATTAGTGTTTTTATTTTATCAATTTATCCAACATAATAGATTCTGATATTAGTTTACATCGTGAGTGTCATGGCTATTACTACATATTAACCAGCATATATTATTTGTGTTGCTATGTAATTTAAGATTATTACTGTAGCATCTGAGAACATATAATAGATAAGCATAATGGTCAACTGTATACTCGTTTATATATCATTTAAAATGGAAGATAATCTTTTGAAATTTAATATCTCACAATAATTTTCTCGATTACTTATCTAGCTTCCATCATGTCATCTAAAAGGAAGCTCTAAGCACCGTATAGTTTTATGATTTCAAAAATGTTGATTTTAAGCCTATAAATATTTCCTTATTTGTCCATTCTATAAAACATTGTCTAAAATGGTTACAGAGAATAACCTGTTGTCAATGTAAGTTGCTAAGAATTATATTATTGCATTATGTGATTTTTTATATACCAGTTTATTTTGTATGCATAATATAATAAATGACAAAATATGAAAATCAGAATAATTGTTCAGAGTTAACAAATTTTAAAAACGTATAATATATTAATTGTAAACCCGACCGAAAGCCGGGCAAAAGCCCGCAAATTGGAGGGTATGGGGGCGAAGCCCTCATAAAATTTTTTCTAGTTGAGCCCCCTGAGATTGTGAAGGCTAGCGACGCCCCTGCTTATTGATACAATTTGTATTTTATAAGAATCTGCCTGGGTGTAGCAATTCTCCAAATATCAATAATGAGTACTTACATATTTTTGCACGTTTTTAAAGTATTATTTTTCGAAAAGCGCAAAAAAATTATGCTAAATAAGAACAAATATTTATTACTAACAGATAATGAATGGGGGTTTAATTTGATAAATAGTTTTTAAACTAAAAAAAAATAATTGTTCTATTTATTTTTATTATTGTGAAAGAAAATATTTTTTTTAAAGCCTTATTTAATGTATATCGAGTGAGAAACTATCTTATCGATCATTTTACTATATTTTTTGCTGCACAACCGATAAGTTCTATTTACAATCTTATTTATTATATTATTATTTTATTATATATTCGAACTGCCCAAAATTCGCTATAACGTAAAGAAAATATTTTGTCCTAAAAGGTTTCCAGCAATGTAACCAGTTATTTACAATTTATATAATTATATATTTTTCTAAATCAAGGTATACATAATATGTAATATTTTACAGAAAATAAAAATGTCCAATAATTTTATTATATTTTACATTTTATAAATATAATCGAGGTTTTGTGCAATATAGGATAGTTGGTATAAAATATAGATCATATATTTAAAGTATTAATTTTAAAAATATAGAAAAAAAAGTCATTCATAATAAATTATTAGATTAAAAATATTGTTGTCCATATCTTATGTAAAAATTTATTATATCAATAAAAAAAATGTATGACCATGACATTGTTTAGTGCAACGAACATAAAAACAACTAAAAGAAATGGCAAAAAAAGTAAATCTATAACTTCTTTGATTTTTAAAATAAGGTGTGATTGCTAACCAGATTATAAAATCTTCCAAATTAATTGACTTTTTTTTTGGAATTGAATAACATATAATTGAGAGGAGGGATTTTTAAAAAGGCTATCTATTGTTATCTTTAAATGGATCATCACGCTGAAGTACATAATTTCAAAATATCCGCCCCACCCCTGTCAAACGCCAAAATATTAGGGCCATTTTAGTAATGCAATCAATCAATAAAGAATATACTAGAATAAACTCAGTCATTGCGAAATAGGGGTGAACATAAAGATTAAAAATAGTGGTAGAAAATAGAAAGACATTTCTGTTCAATTCAGTTTATTTAGTTTTCTTAATCAATTTTCACGGCAGAGTAAATGGACTTAACAAAAAGGTAGGAGGCAAAAAATCCAACGACTCCGGTCAGAAGCCAGAATGTTAGGACCATAATAGCAGTGTAACCTAAATACAGGAGAACCGGTACGAATCCCGTGATTTCTAACTTGGTAAAAAAGTAGAATAAGGCATATCCAGCCATATATAGTGCTGACCCACCGCCGTACACGCTAAAGCTCTTCCACCACCATCTGTGTTCCAATAAAATAATAATTATATCAAAAATATAAAATATTACTCCTAATTTAAAAAAATATATATTTATTCTTTTTAAAATTTTTATAAATACGAGATTAATATACATTGAAATTGCTAAAACCTTTTAAAAGATAAACCCCCCTCCCCGCCTTACACCTAATTCTGTTTTTTTACGAGTAACAAAAATATAATAATGAATACTAAAAAATATTTCTTCTTATAAATATTTTCTTAGGCAATGACTGCCACGTAGAGAATGTGAAACGTCAGTTCTGGTTCATTTCGGGTGTATCTCGCTTTAGATTAAAAGATGAGACGCGTTTCACTTTCTCTGCCAAGACATTCCCCCACCTTATCACTCTCAGCTGATAAATTGAAATTCACCTATAATCTTCGTTGCAGAGCTGAAAGTAAACCATGACAATGCTAATTTGGCCACAAGACACGACGAGTATGAGAAAGACTAGAAAGAGGAAGCCAAATAGGTAGTAAAATTGATTTTCCCATATGGCCGTAAATATGAAGAATAGTTCTATAAATGTGCTGCCTATTTTGAGAACATAATGGTAAAAAAATTAGATTTTTGATTATATTTTAAGAAATTATCTCATCTAATATTATAATCTCCGTAATCTATAAGTTATCGTTTTTCTATTTTCTTAATGTTAATGTTAATTTTATCTATCAGCTCTTGAGGGTGATTATATAACCTAATATTTTCGATATATCCAACCGACCATGGCCGTTTTATGGATTATTTAGTCGGATAAGCCAATAAAAAATGGGCTAAACTTAACCGATTAAAATTAAACTCTCTATTGTAAAGAAGATTTTTCTAAAATATTAAATTCGATAGCTTTTATCATTATATATTTGAAAAAAAACCCTTCGTATTTGGGTATGATTGATAAATAATTTACAGTTTAAATTAAGTAACTGGCATTTGAAGTTAGAATTAGTTATTTTAATGTATCCTAGTTACCATCACATGGTTTCATTATTTATTTATTTTTTTTAAATAATGATTTTTAAGAAAACATGAATAAATATATTAATTAAACCGAAAGGAAGAACACCAGCAGCGAGTGAAGAAACAAAAGAGTTCATATACCAGGGCTGCTCGGGAATTTGCCGAGGTATTTGATTAGTACGTACGGGCTGCGAGTATGGCTTTAAAATATTTAATATTTAGTAATCTGTTAATCATCTCATATAAAATTATTATAATAACTTATTTTGATTTTTTCATTAAACTTTCCTCGTAGATATTTTTTTCCCTATTTTCTAATAAGAATTTTTCCTAATTTTTATACAAACAAATATCTTCAAACTATCATTAATATATTTTTACTATCATTTCTTCAAAATTAAATTACTTGTTTCCTATAGCCAAAATAAGATCCTATGTACACCAGAGGTACAGAAATTCCAAACCACAAACATAAAATGGCCATCATCGTTGAAAACGGGATCTATAAATTTTTACAATTTATTAAATAAAAGCAATTAATTTACGATTAACCTTTAAATAAATGAATAACTTGAAGCTAGGTTAATAATATTGTTAGAAATATATTCGTTTAAGAACCAACAAACAATTTTTTAATAAAAAGTATACCGAAGCAGATGAATGTTTGGCCCATAAAAAGAAGTTGAGAAAGCTGCATATGTTGAAGACAGTGCTGGGGTATAAAGTGGCAGTCTAAAAGAAAGTAAATTATGTTATAAAAACACAAGAAAAAAAATCATAACATTTAAAAAATATTATACTCCCTGACATGAGATTGTACCATATACAGAAATCTGCAATGGGAGGGTTTTTAGCTTACCCGCCCATTCTCCTGGAGGGTTTGAGAGGTAGCGCTGTTAAATGGCTCAATTTGAGTCAATTTTTAAAAACGGCTAACTCTATATTTTAGTCAAGAAATATTGACTATAAGCCATGAGATTTTGCTAATGGATGTCCAAGACTTTGTGCCAACTATGACCAAAATCTTCAGGCTTGTTAAATATTATTCTGGACAAAATAGATATTTAAAACATTGGGCGTGTAGTGGTCTGGTTAAAAAATATTTTTAAAACAATGGACGGGTGATAGGAGGATAAATCCTAAATATTATTTCAAGCGAAATGAGCAGAGCTCGTATCTATTTATTTTAAAAAAAAATTTATTTCATAATATTGCATATTCTATAAATTTAAATTAAAAATGCATTCATATAAAATAAATAGAGCCAAATCAGCCAGTAAAATAATTTTTAAACATTGGGGGGCGATTTAAACAAAATTTTTGTATAAATGGTCGGACGAGTAAATTTTTTATAAAACCATGGGTTGGGAGGTGGTTGAATTTTAAAACAAATTGCATAAACCACATGTTTTTTAACTTAAATAATTTGGATCAAACAAAAATCCTAGTAAATTTGTGTTTATTTTTGATGAGGATTTTGGGAAGTCATCAACTGATTTTTGGTCACTTTTTGGTAGTTGTTGTTAACCAGCGCCACCATTTTTCCCCTGAAATGCTGAAGCGTTTACAAAACAGGTCTACAAGAACTTGATTTTTATTAATTTTATCGAATGTTTAAATTTGCATTTGGATAAAAATAACTAAAGTAATAGCATAGGTCCGTGGATAGGTAACCAGTTATGAATTTTTCTAGTTTCTGCTTGAGAAATAGTTTTTCTTGAGATCACCTGAAATAGTGATCTCAGAGAATGAGTGTTATTCAACCTGGGCGTGTCTAAGGTATTATTTCCTACCGATTCTAAATTAATGGAATGAGAGCGGTTGAAAAAGATCTTATGTGTGAGGACATTTATTTCACGATGGCGACAATGTCTGCCTTTATCTGGTCTTGCATAAACTGCAGAGGAGTGGGATGACTTTACTTGTATTGAGCGGGCCATATGAGATTCGAAGTTCTTCTGTGGATATATATGTGACCAGATTCTTATGAATAGTGTCTACTCTTTCATAACCATCAATATTCTGGATAAATTGAAGACTGTAAAGTTCTTCAAATGGCGGGTTCAATAAGAGAAATACAATGGAGCGTGCAATCATAAAAATGTCGGTCTTTTTAAATGGTATTTATGGGGATGATCGTGATAAGGAGATTTTCGGGAATGTTTGGAAATAAGATCATTTAAAGTAGTTATTTATTAGTTAATTAAATCTTCTGATGAGAGATGAAGATTGCCAGTGATAGGGAAATAAGGGATCGAATACCAATGAGGCCTGCTTTGAAAGGAAGAGATGCTTGCACCCATGATAAAAATTTAATGTCTAGGATCTCTTCTAAACATGATTTTAAGAGATTTTCAAGATTGGGTAAGGAACCTAAATAACAAGGTTAATAACTGAGATTGTAAAATTTTCGGAGGAAGCTGTTACAGGAGTTCGAGATCTTTGATCATTGATATGAATATTTAAAAAAAACAGAAACTGCAGCATCATCGCTTATCAGTGATCCTGGAAGGTTGGTTATTATCTATTGATTAGGATGAAAGGATGTTCATCTTGAGAATAAAAGGCAGGGAGCTAAGCCTTTGATAAGTTAAGAGTAGGACCTGTAACAATAATTAACTTTTGATAATAAAGGGGCTTTTCATTATATCAGATAGAGGGTCTAAACCATTAATATTTTCTAATTGAATAAATTTAAGATTAGCCTGAGCTCCCAATTAAGATAATAGTTTTAATAACTAATTAAAATCGAGTGTTGATTCAATGCTTTGTCAACCTCTTCCAATCTCATCTTGGGATTAATGAATGGTAGCGCATATTTTTAGTATTACTGAACATGTTCTAGGGAAGATAGGGTCAAATTTAAAATAATTATCATGTTAGATCTAATACAATAGAATAAAAAGGATAAAAATATATCAATTTTCGTGTAAATTTTTTAAAAAATTTTGCAAAAATAAAACAAAATTGTTCATAAAAATCTTACATAAAACGCCGTTTTCTTCCACAGGGTTCCTTTAATAGTTTTGTAAAGCCTGGAGGAATAGTAGCCAGCAAACATTCTGTCAAAAGTTAAGCACAAAATTCATGCAAAATATATTTTATGTCCATTATAATCATGAAAAAGTTATAACGGATTAAAAAAATATATAAAGAAGCTAATATATTGTCTAGTGAGTATTGGAATGCTCTCTTACATTTCCATTCTCTAATTTTAAAAATCAAGAAATTTTAAATAAATCTATTTATCTTATACAGTAAAGAAGTTTGTAGTTTATTTTTTGGTAGCTAGTATTTATAATTGTCACATGCACACCACTACTAGGGTGATTGGCAAAAATCAAAAAAAAATTACGATTTTTTAATTTAAATTAAGTCTTACAATATAATTAAAATATTTTCTATGTGACTTGGGATATAAGTTTAAAAAAAGATCTAAGTTTTCATTTAATAATAATTAAAAAACTAATAATTATTTAAATTACAAGCAAAGAAAGAAAATTGATTTAAATTGTGATTTTTATTCAAAAAAATAATTGATTTTAATCATAATATTTAAAAAAAGTCTCTTATAGTTATATAAAATCAATTAACAGATATAAAAAGAATGCTTTTTATAAGGACAAAACCCCCCATAAAGCATAATCAAAATATTTACCCCATAAAAACATAGAGAAAGATGGCGGCGGTCATAAGAGCCCCTCTCGAGGCTGGAGACAATACTCCTAAAACGGCAAAACACAACACAATCAAGGACATGGCGGCTATTTGTAGACCGGATCCTACCAGTGCACAGAACAACACGGGAAATTTGGGAGGCCTGAAGACGTCCCCATGAACTAATTTCCAGCCCGTCTCTTCTAATGTATCTTCCTGTTTATTTAGATTCGTATATAATAAATAAAAATGGAATAGTTAATAAATGAATGAAAATAATACATGACAAGTCTTTTTTATTAATTTAAATGGATAGTGAAATTTGATTTAATTTTTATGTCGAAAATGATTTATTTAAATGGCCTCTAAGCAAAGGATTGAATTGAAGGAGTAGCGATGCAAGGCCTTAATATATCCTTGTGATTGAATTTTCAGGTAATTTAAGCTTCCTGTTAGAGAATGATATCGATAAATGATCAAAAACAATTTGTAGGGAAAATTGAAGAGATAGAGAATAATAATGAAACATAATTTAAAAAATTTTTAAATAAGCTTCCTTTGAACAATTTTTAATTCATTCCTGTGGGTGGCAACATAAATTAAAGAATAATGTAAGCTTGAATTGGTAGAGATGGGAATAGCATGTAAAATGGGCATATACACCCCCAGTTGAGAGCAAAAATATAGGTGATACGATTATTTTTGTACTTTTATTCATCGATGAAAAGAAGGTTATTAGTAACAGAGCTACTTTTTTATAAAAAGGTAACGAATAAAGATACCATTTACAACACGGCTAAAATGATTGATACAAGAAAAAACGTTGTAGCGAATAGTTAGAATGCAGAGCTGATCACGAAATTAAGTAAAACTATGAAATAGAAATATTAATATGAGTTGTACTGATACCACTAAGCGATCCTATGTCACTAATCTTATTTTGTTCATTATACATATTTAATATATCTTAATTTTTATTATACCAAATAACACAAGATAAGTCATTTAAAAATTATACTATTATAAAATTTTAAATGACCCTTCATTTTTATATTCATTCAGTTATACTCATCAATGCAAAACTATATAAATAATTTTTAACATATAAATATCCTTATAAAAATAAATTATGTATTTCAATTATACTAAAATATTTATTAAATTTTAATAAATTTTAATTCAATCATTTTATCGGATCGGGTCGGGAAATTTAATATCAGCTGATACTCAATTCTTTAAAAAATCAGAATATCGATACATTACTAATAGTTAATGAAAGTGGTCCAATGTTTGATAAAAATAAAATGTAGATTAGATCGAACGACAAAAGTATATCGTAATATTTTTTTTAATATCTAACCAAATCTTCCTCTCTGTTATAACGGGCTATATCTTTTCGCAGTGTTCGAATGATAATCATCGTCAAAATACCTGTTATATTATTATACATATTTTTTAAAAACATAAAAACGGGGAAAAACAAGCGTTAAAAAACATAAAACAAGCTTAAATAGCATTTTAAAAGTTATTTTTAAAGCAGGGCTGAGAACCCGAACCCTTTGGGCATTCGGGATTTTTATTGGATCTGAATCCTTTTTTATTAAAATTATGGGTTCAAGAATTGTTTTTTTTAATATATATATTTATTTTCCCAATTACGATATTTTGGTAGATATCTGGATAATTCGCATAGATATAATTACAAATTATTTAACTTTGTGAAAATTGTGAAGGATAAAAATATGCGACCTTTAACAATTTTCGCAAGTTGAAATAATTATTATACGCAAATAAATTAATAAATAAGGAAATGTTTTCCATCAAATCTGCATAATAAATGTAATAATTTTAAATTGTATTGTAATTATTCTAATGAATGATAAATACTGGTGTTGTTAAAAAGCTCGATTTGGGTCGATTTTTAAAAATGGCTTGATTAAGATTTTTAGCCAAAATAATATTATTATGTAATAGTGCTTACAAATTGAGCGTTTATGTTTAAACGTAACGCATCCCTTGTTTAAATTGAGGTTGCCTTTTTTTATTAGTATCATCGATTCAAAATTTTAAATAATTTCTCCAAAAAAAGAATTTATCATTGAAAATTATATTATCGTTTGCCTTCTTATTTTTTTTATTTTTAAATACTCCTTTTTAGGATATAAGTAATTTATTTATATTCATTTTTATATATTATTACAAAGGGAAGAATAAAAAAAAGTAATGAAAAAGAAAATCTATTTGCGTTTTTTTAAATGGTTGCAAACGCCAAACGGTAATTTTACCAATTTGCACGAGGCCATTTGAAATGCATTATTTGCGCTTGCAACGCAGAGTTTGAAGCGCTCAATTTATGTGAAATATAAACTTCGAGATTCGGTATTTAGCAACACTTGGAAATACTAAATGTAATATTAAAGAAAATTAAGTTTCTATTATTTTAACTAAATTTTTTAAGTCCTTATTTTCCTGGACCACCCTGAACCCTAGAGGGAGAGTTCAACAGCACTGTTTTAAGCATTCTAAAAATTTCCTAAAAAAAAAATATAAATTAGTTTTGTTATATTTTAATAACAACAATTTTAACTAATTAGGAAAATTATAAAATGATTATGATAATATTTTTAAAAATAAATCCGACAAAATCTTTAGTAGAAATCATATTTTAAATGATTATAATAATGAAAATTTTGCAATAAAATATTAATAGATTTAATCCGTAAATTGTAGTAGTAAATAAAAACAAAAAAAAATGTTGACCTTTTTTTTTGTTTTTTTTTCAGAAAAAAAAATTAAAAAAATTAACATTTTGAAGCAAAAATAATTGTTTTTATGAGAACTTATTTCTTTCTTCTAGTTATTTAAATAAATCCAAAAATGCATGTTGTAGGAGCTTCACAAATCTGGGTTTTAGTAAATATTTTATATAAATAAACACTAAAATATTCCCGTAGTCAAAGTTTTCAATCGATTTCGGATTCTTTGTATGAATATGACCCCCTTAGACGAACCGATTTCTTTATGATGAAAAAGTTAAACCTAAAAGGGTTAATAAGATATTTGCTACTTTCCTTAAAGAGGCAAGGTTGACCAAGTCCCTTCCACCAGCTTGATGCGAAATCTGATTAATGGTTATGGAATTCTACCTCATCCCACATATTTTGTTTAAACAAATATACCGCTTTTATAGAGAAAATTTATTTCATCACTTAAGACGGCTTGACTATCTCACCATCTTATAGAATTCCATGTTCTTTTTATCATATCACAAGTTTATCCTCAACATCGTGAGATGATGTCCACGATATTGGGGATCGGATAAGTAAGACGTATTATGTTTGTATTCAGATCAGTTCTTCTTACTTCTCAAACATATTCATTTTTTTTTAATTTGATTCATTTCCCCTCCCCCCCCCCCCTTTTTTATTCTTCTTTTCATAAAGATCACACAATATTAATACGACTAGAAAGTTGTGGATAGTAAATTTTCTCGATTCTATGCCAGACAACAACTCAATCAAACGGCTGGAGAGATTAAAACCTCGAGATTGGTACGCGATAATTGCTAAAACTCAGTTTGTCGTTTTTTTTGGATTGACTTAATAAAAGGCAATTATGACAGTAAAGGGCTAGTTAAAAAAATATACGTGGCAAAATTTAATTTTTATATATTTTCATTTAATTTAAGATATCGCTACTTGTTTAAATATATTTAAAAAAATGCCTAGGTTTAAATATTATTATAAACATAGGATCCCATTGAAAAATCATTTATGGGTGAATGCGGTAACGCTTTAAACTCGCACTGCTATAATGCGTTAATTGTGCTATTTTACTCTGTATTGTACGATTGGCAAATAATGAATTTCAAATGATATCGTTCAGATAAGCGCGATTTCATCCTCGCGTCAAATATCATATTTAAAAAAATGGGAAACAAGTTTTGCGATTCATTTTATCGTTTTTAATTTTTAATATCGTTTCAATTTAAACAAGTCTGAGCATGTTTTTCATTTTATTTTCAAGTAGTAATAAACATCGCAAACGCTTAATTTGTAAAATCTATACATAATATTAGTATTTTTAAAAAACTTATTTCGCATTTTATAAATAAGGTACATAGTTAATATTATTTTTAAAAAATTGATTTATTAATTAAATTGTTTTTCATTTAAAACCTGATAACAGAAATATGATGACGACAGAATTGATGATAGAAAACCAATGTATTTTAACGTCCCTGGAGGAAAGGTAGGAGTCCCACCTAGAGGCCCATCTCAAATCGCTAGGTTCCCATTTGACCGAATAAGTAAATGCCAACTCGGTATTTTCTGAATATTATTTAAATTTATTTTTAAAAAAACAGATGATTTTACAATTTGGATACAAATATAAAATTTTTAGTCAAAATTAATTGATATTTTAAAATACTATTTTCTTGGATTAGTTGCCCATTATATTGATGATCAGGTAATTTACATGTACCATCTTTTTCAACTTTCATATCCTGGTAATCAATGCTCATAGGTTCGACTTCAAATCCAACTACCATGTAGTTTTTGGTTTCAGGGTCCGTATAATATCTCAACGTAAAATTCAAATGATTAAACAGGTAAGGCTAGGGAGATTAAAATAAATATAAATAATTTTTAAAAAAATTTTTATATTACTTTCCCATCCGTATTTATATATCCAATTTTAAAACCTTTTTCAAAAAAAGCGTCATCACTCTTTTCTTGAATAAATTTGGTCAAACTTGGTAAATTATCTGCAAATCTTGACAATATATTTTTTATAAAATTAACTTTTGTTTTCCTCGTTGTGTTACTTTATTGAATTATATTTTAAATCCTACCTTTCCTCTCCCTTCTAATATCTTAAAATAATTTCATATTTTCATGCCTAATTTTATTTTATCATTTTTTTTATTCGCATGATAATGAATGGATACAAAGTCTATTATAGAATCCTGGAAGTAGGGTGTCAAACCAAATTTAACCGTGAAATCAAATAGAGTGTTGCAATTTTTTAAACCATAAACAAAAGAAATTTCAAAACGTGAGAACCAAGCCATTATAACACATTTATTGTTGACCCAGTTTTAGGGGTACATTCAATTTAGTGATCTTAAATGATTAATATAATTTGTAATATTTATATTTTAATTAAATATATTTTATTGATTCCTATAAATTCCTTTTTTTTAAAATAAGTAATGCAAATTTTAATTTTAATTTCATTACATCTTACTAATGTTTTTTTAATAACATAATGAGATTAAGCCATTTCCTTAAACTTTTGTTTAGTTTTTAAATTTTTTATTAGATAGGGGATCAGTTCAAAATATATATTAAATTATGATATTTAAAAAAATCCAAAGTCTTAAAAGAAACCAATTTATAAACCATAATGAACCAATAAAGATTTATTCAAAAATAACTAGGATAATAAATCAATTTTAAACTAAGAACTAGAATGGAAATAACATTCTGCAAATATTCCCATAGAGGTTTCAAGACTCAAAAATTAAAAAATGGAGCTAAGTAGGGTTTACAAATTTTTTTGGGATGGGTTGAGGCTTAAGAAATATGAAACTTTTCTGGAATTAGGACAAAGCAATTTGGGATTTTTTTATTTTACCTTATAAAAATGTGTTTGATATATATTATTAAATTAAAGATCTTGGGCAGACCTGAAAAATCATAGATGCCTCAGTATGGAGATTGGTATTGAACCAAAACTGAATTGGCCCTTATCAATATTGGCAAAACTTAAATAAAATAAATTTTAGCATGTAAAGACATGAATTTACAAAAAAACATTCAATTCTTCAAACCAAATCATTTTTCTTCTAAATAATCTTGTGTTTGTAAATTTGATAGTAAAAAGGATAATATTTTCATAAAGGTAGAAAAACGAATAGATAGAAAACCATTGAAGAAACAAGTAATACTTTATTCAAATTTAGTAATATCATGGCAATAATACATCTGTTAAAATAAATCTTATCCAAAAAGGTGGTATTGGTGAACTGGTTCTACCTATGTTCATATAACAAAAATGATTCAATAAAAATGAATTATGCTTGGCAGACTCATGGTAAAGCATGATATATGAGACTGCCAAAATAACTAAAATATTTCTGTGATAAAATTGTGGAATCTCTAAGGTATAGAATAGCTAGACCTCATGTAAGCTCTTGGTGGTTAAAAAATCTAACATGTCTGCTTAGCCATTAATATAATTTTAAATTAAAATAATTATAAAATTTACAATGTCATAAAATATGCTTGAGAAATTTTTTCAACCATTGAGGAAGATTCTGTCTTGGATAACTTTTTAGGGTCACACAATTTTATACAATTAATATCAACTTTCATTTGAATCTTATAAGTATTTATAAAATGTGTCTAATAATGTATTATATACTTTGTAAGGTGTATTAACAATTTTCCCACCAATTATTAATTCACCTAATAATTATTTATTAATCACGTATGTTATTTAAAAATACCTAAATTCTCCTTTGAATATTTAATTTGTCCATCTGCAGGTTTACAAAATGAAAGAGAGTAATAATCATAAGGCAAAAATGTCTTGATACTATTTATTGTAGATACCTTTTAATAAATAGATCATCTATAAATGTCAAATTTTCTTACAGTTACAGGTACATCTTGACCAACTTGAAAAATATTGGGAGCAGTTTGAGGTACATAATAGGAATTGATTAAAATTATATGCAAGTAATAAATTAATATTGATAATAATAAGTTGTTCATTTTTTGATCATTTTTATGCTTTTTAAAATAAAATAGCAAACGCAACATATTTGATTATATAGTGATGCATCTCTACGAAAATATCGAATTACAATAAAATGTTCCTTTTTTTAAATGTAAGAAGTATATACTGGAACCCAACTAAAAAATGATTTAATTTGTTCATATATTATTCATATTATATATATATAATAGTCACTGTTATACCTCATAAATGTTTCATAATCTACGATTCCAAGTATTATGTAATTTTTACAATATTAAAAATAAATTACAAGATAACCATCAATCAAAAATATCGCATATTGTTGATTGGTCGAGATTAAATAATAATAATATATTATGAATATTATGATCTAAAAAATTTTTTGTGATGATGACACTTTTTTGATCATTATTCAATTGTCATAAAATATAACTTTAAATTTTTTAATTTAATGGAAGAATTGTTAAATAAAAAGTTACATTTAATAGTGTCCTTCCTCCGAATTTATAAAGATTAATCGATAAGTATGCAAAGTAGTAAGATATCAAAGACAGGAGCAAGATAATTCTGATCAAAAAACTATATTCTATAGATTCTAAAAATTCTATTTTTCGGATTCTAGTACGGATTGAATTATATTATTCAAAAGTAGTCATACGCTGATATTATATGTCCATCGTATCTAGTGTTGCAAAACTGCTCGATTTGAGTCAATTTTTAAAAACGGCTAACTTAACATTTTATCCAGGAAAATATTGCTTAAGTGTCGAGATTTCGACAATAGATGTTCAATGTGCCATCTATGAGAAAATTCTTTAGGCTTGCATAATATTTTTCTGGATAAAATATTGATTTATTCGTTTTTTTAAAATCGGCTCAAATTGAGCCATTTAACAAGACTAATCGTATCAATCATTGATTTGTTATCAGGCGTAAGTCATTTTTATTTCCATATATTTTATAGCGGCTTTTAGAATAGAGTTTTCATCATTTTTCATTAATTACAATTATAATTTCGTTATATCGACAATTTATATCAAGTTATCGGTTTTATTTCTTTGTTTATTATAGCATAATTATTTTCAGCGTTGTATAAATTATCTGGAGTCCGCTATTACACATATGCTTTTGGTAATTCAACTCCATTAATATAATTTTGTTAATTAGATGAGATGCGTTAATTCCTAATATTAACTCTATAAATGCTTTTTAAAAAATAATCCCTTCTTCTTCGTCAAATATTATATTATAAAAGAGAATAACCATATATGGTCAATGTAGTAAAGGGGATTTATTGTAATATTTTATTTACATATTATGTGTTATATTTGTTAGTTACTAATGATTATATATATGAATATTTTATCATGTTTTATAATGTATGATGAGCAGAGTTGTTAAAGGATCGAATCAAAAGATCGACGATCTTGGATTCGATCGCAAATTTGTCAATTTTACGAGATTTATGATTCTGACTTAAATTGAGGATCAAGATCGAGATCATTTTGTTTAAAATTCGATCCCGATCTTTTTAAAAATTAATTTTTTACTTAAAAAGCAATAAATAAAATAAAAATTTTAAAAATTAAATTAAAATATTATTTTAAAAAAAATAACTATCTTCATATTTTATCAACTTCCATTCCACCATTTATTTTATAGATATATTTATTGATTTCCTAAATTTTACGAGATTTAGAGCTCTTACAAGTTATTTAATATAAATATATAATTATATTAATATTCATTTTAATAGGTAAATGTAAATGTCCATTATAGATTTAGAAGATTCTATTGCTTCTACTATTGATGTAACAACAGATATAAGTGAGAATGAGAATCTTTTACCATTTTTGAAATTACGTAAGTATTTTACTTTATGTGAAATGGATGAAAGCAACTCTTATAATATGATCAGCACCAAATGCCGTCTCTGTAAGAAAATAATATCATCTTCCAAAATATCATCCTCGAACTTAAAGAGACATTTACAAGTAATTTTTTTAAATTTTTTTTATTTGATAATCTTAATGTCAACATGTTTAAATTTAATTTATTACATTCCTGAGTTGAACAGGTCCTACAGAAATAGAATCTAGATAAAGATTTTTTATAAAAAAAATGAATTATTAGATACAGTATAATTAATAAAATATTTGATAAGGAGTTAATCTTGGTTTGTTATTTATATATAATAATTAGGCATTTATTTTTTAATATTACTATTATATTAGTTTAATTTTCAAAAGAAGAGTATTTATAATAAATGGAAGTGTAATAACTAATAATTAAGCCTTTATAATGTATTTTGACTTTCTTTAATATAATTAAAACATCCAGTTCAATGTTATTTGTATTGAACTTAGCAATGTTTTACCAAAAGAAAAATAAATATCTATTCTATTATTTCTTTATTATAATATGTTAAATCTAATCAATTAGTATTATAGTTTCAGTTTGAGCTTGATTATATAATCCTCTTGACAACATTTTTAGGGCTTTTTTAAATAATATATTTTGAATTGAAAGTATTTTTTGTATCATTTGACTCAATCCATAAGTTCTTAAATGCCAAAGCCTCATTATATTCATAATAGGAAAATACTTTATCAAAATCTTTGGCCCATATCATCTTGGGCAACTTTTAATAATGATAGACAATATTGTAAACTTAAATTTTTAAGATACATACCCCCTTTTAACCACTAATAAAACATACTTTAATATGTTTAACAAAATTTGTTGAACCCTTAATCCATAGTTCTTATATATTCATATATAGGAAAATATTTTATCAAAATCTTTAGCCCATATCATCTTGGGCAACTTTTAATAATGATAGACAAAGACAATATTGTAAACTTAAAATTTAAAATAACCTATATGAACCTTTTTTAACCATATATAAATTAAATAATATACTTTAATATGTTTAACAAAATTTGTGTTGAACCCTTTATCATTTTTTTGTTTATATAGGTTTTACATTCAGCTTGTACATTGTTTTTTTTAACTTTAAATTTCCATATAAAATTTTAAAAATGAAATTTGATTCAGGTGAAGTTATTTTCATCCAACTTTGATAAATACTATTTTTTTCTTTTATAAAGAAAAAGCAGTGAATTTAAAAATGAAATTACCAAACACCTCAACGAATTCTCTACACAAAAAATATATCACTGCAAAACCAAAGTGGTTCTGATTGCAAATCCAGACAATCTAAATTAAATTTTAACAGAAAAATATTGTACAAAATGCTTGTACATGTTCTAAATGAAAGACGCGGATGTATATATGATGATAGATTAGAAAAAATTTTATTATTAAAAGCTAATTTTAATTATTAATAAATATATAATAATTGTTATATTTATTATTGAATTACAATAAATTTCTACCATATTTAATTTATTTTTATATTAGTTATTTGCATCGGTTATATTATATTATTATTCAATTACAATAAATTTATAACATATATTAGTTAATTTTGCATCGGTCAGAAATTTCCTTCAGAAATTTAAATAGAAAAAAAGATCGTTTAAAAAAAGGTCGATCCTGGATTTCGATCCTCCTTTTTTGAAAAGATTGTGATCGGGATTCGATCATTTTAAAAAGATCGGTTAACAAGCCTGATAATGAGTATAATAACTATGTACGATAAACTTCCTAACATTTTATATATGCATTTATCCATATAGATATTTCCTATTGTGAAAATGGAGGAATAAAATGTCAGAAACTTATTTTATAAGTCAATAGTCTTTATTGTAAAATATTTACTATATATATACTTAAAATTCTAATAATATCTTGTGCCATATATAATATATATAATATATTATAAAATTTTTAGAATCCTGAATATATGTTAACGATTTGTAAATATGTTAATATATATTCCATTTACCATAACGTAACTATTATTTTACGGAATGATTTTTATTATTTCTTTTATTTTACTATCTATTAACTTAATATTTACCTTACGGACTGATTTTATTATCTTTCATCATTAAATTAACTTAATAGTTTCATATAATTATAATACCTTGGTCGATTAACCTAAATTGATAACTTTGATAACTGATTTTTATTATTATTTTATATTAACCGATTAAATATATTGTTAAATTAGATTTATATATATATGTGTGAAATTTGTATGAAACAGTAGTTAAATATTTTTAATATTAAAATAAAAATAAATATTCCTATAACTTTTGTATTTAATGTCTTACTCTTTGCCTACCTTAACATGGTGACAGCCTCTATCTTTTAAAAAACACAAATATGAATTTCATATTAATAAAAAAATATGAGAAATATTTTTTATATTGAAGCATATGTAACTAAAATTAAACTTATTTTCAATAATAATAATAGTACAGATGACGATAATGCCACTTCCTTACTCCACAATTTACCAGATGATATCTTTACTAAATTACCTATATGCACTGAAGGCTATCTTAAGAAATCGTCGACACTAATAAACAAGCTCAGACTACTAGACTTGAAACAATAAAATTAGCAATTTCAAAGCTGTAGTTGAAAAGGAGAACGAAAGTTTTTTTTAGATCGAATCTCCCGAATTTGTCAGCTTAACATGGATTGCAACTTGGAATCGGCTGGGTTATATGTCAAGTCTATCTGAGGAAATAAAGTACAGAATTAAAGATTTACTAATTTTAGAGGATATCATAAAAATAGGTAAAGTATAAGATGAAACTGATATCGAAACATAAGATTATCTAAGTCAACATACACTCTGATGTAAATCATTTGAAGGTATCAAGATAAGATAAGAAATTTAAGAACAAATTTAACTAAAAACAGATATGATAATGCCCAGGTGATGCCATGTGATGAAACCAACATACATTAGGATAAGCATTACAAACATTTAGACAACCAAGGCAGACACAACGATATTATGACACCAAAGATTCGACAACCAAAACAATTGTCATTTTCATTTTCCAATATAAGACTGTGACAGATTTTATGATTAAAATAAACGACAAACTCCTTACATTCCTTTCAACA